GCTGCGCAATGTGCATTCGCTCCATAAGACGCACACACATTTCCCCTTACTTTTTAGGAGTGAAAAAGTGCATCTTATAGAGCAAAAAATACGGTATTTGGCAGAGTATTGTCAGTCGAAGAAGGAAAAGTTTCACGAATGGGATGGAATAGAGCCGTTAAGTTCACTGAATAGCTTTCTTGGGAAAGCTTTATCTTCTCTCTCCGTAGTGCGCAGTCCTCCAAGGCTTCTCTGTTTTGCACCAATAGCCTTGCACGATTCCGTTCACCTGGCCGCAGTATTTCCTGACGATGCACCACGTGGCTCTCTGTGGTGTGCCTAGAGGGCAATTTGCTCCTCTCACAGTTTGGTGCATTTGGAACTGGAAATACAGGAAATTAGATTACCATACATTTCCATAAGAAAGAAGTTGTTGGGGTGGGGGAGAGGTTGGCACACAATCACAAAGGGACTTTTGCCAAGTGAACTACACAGCCCATATTGGTCCCTGAGTTCTTTCCACCTGCAGTAAAGTTGGAAGGTAAGTGTGAAATGGGGGTCACTAGCACATGTGGACTCTGGAAAGCAGGCTCCACATCCAGTCTCCTCCAGAATGATGTCATTTGGAGATGCTGTAGGATTATCACGAGCCAATTGCCACTACGCTTCTTTATTAACTTGTGCATCTTCTTATGCAAAAAATGGATTGGTTGCTTTAAGTACAAAGTCTTGGATCCAAATATAGGGTTATGCAAGTAGAATCCTCACCCCAGGCTGAAGCCCCTTGCTCCACATCACACACCACCCCAAAGCTTCCCTCAAATCTCTGGAGAAGTTTTCTGGGGCAGTTGGAGCACGGGGTGATAAAATTGGCACAAGAATGAAACCATACATAAATGGAAATGTCTTTCACTTGCAATCCCCCATTCCTGGTGTTTAATTAATAAAAGTCAAGTTGCCACTCAGCAAGTGTCATGTGTAGTTTAGCCTTTGGTGTAAAATTAAGGGCTGTGGGTTAAACCACTGAGCCTAGGACTTGCCGATCAGAAGGTCGGTGGTTCGAATCCCTGCGATGGGGTGAGCTCCCGTTGCTCGGTCCCTGCTCCTGCCAACCTAGCAGTTCGAAAGCACGTCAAAGTGCAAGTAGATAAATAGGTACCACTCCAGCGGGAAGGTAAATGGCGTTTCCGTGCGCTGCTCTGGTTCGCCAGAAGTGGCTTAATCATGCTGGCCACATGACCCAGAAGCTGTACGCCGGCTCCCTCAGCCAATAAAGCGAGATGAGCGCCGCAACCCCAGAGTCGGTCATGACTGGACCTAATGGCCAGGGGTCCCTTTACCTTTACCTATAATATTGACAGCCTGTGAACCAGTACTATCCTTCTGACTTCAGCAAGCTGAGCCCTGGTGCAGTCATTCCCACCATTTGGCAGGCAGCTTAGTAATACAGTAACAACGCCCAGTTTCCTGTTCTTCATTCCCATCAGTTGGATGCCTGAAATAGCAGGATGCAGTACTTCTTCACTTTCAACCTGATGTTGCTATTCTTGGTGCCCTCCTTGTTCCATAGCCAGCAGCTAGCAGAGCTACATATGGCTGAACAAGTTAGGTGGTTTATTGCAGCAATAACTGCAAGATCAGCTGGTTGTTTATCTTTAAAGGCAAATGAATCTAGCCCTGGATCCTCATTTCCCTTAGTATATCTCTGCGCTCTGGTTTCATTCTTTTAAAAAAGGAGCTTCCTGTGCCTTTAAGGGTGATGAGAAGCAGCTGTAGGAATGCTGCCAGTATGTCACTTTGGAAATGTCAAAGGAGCAGCAGGTCAGTGGACACCAGTTTTGTGAATCCCCCTTGTCACCTGCACCTGACCCTTGCCACTCAACCCTTCCTTTAAACTCACAGAACTGCCCTTGGCGTGGCTGCAGGAAATAAGACAACTTGGGTGTTGCTGTTTTTTAGCAGCCACAAATCGGTCTCTAGAGTGCCTCGTTTTCTAAGATTAACTTTCTCCTGTAAAATGACTTTTTGAAAAGGAAATGGTACACAGGAAGAAACAAAATCTGTGCTCTAAAATCAAGCTTTGGGATTAGTTTTGTAGACTCCTTCCATTCTCGATAACACCTTAATATACCATTTCCACTTAACACAAAGCTTGAGTGGGAGATGCTGACAGTCCAATTAAACATTTGTTTACTCAGAATAAAGTTCCATTGAATGCATTAGGCGGACTCGTTAAGTATTGCACGTGGGACTGGAGCTTTAAGGGTTTAAAATTTAGCTTTGGCTTGATTATGCCTGTTGCTACTTTCTAAACTAGGATTTTATGCCCCAGTCTTGTTAACTCAACTTGCTCTAATCTAGGGATAGCCAACATGGTGTTCCCTACATGTTTTGTGGAGTACGGTTCTCATTAGCCCCAGTTTACGTGGCCAATAGTCAGGTATTATGGGAGATGTCGTTCAACAACATTGGCTAGCCCTGCTCTAAGCTGTGTACCTCTAAATCAGGCATAAGCAAACTCAGCCCTCCAGATGTTTTGGGACTACAACTCTCATCATCCCTAGCTAACAGGACCAGTGGTGAGGTATGATGGGAGTTGTAGTCCGAAAACATCCGGAGGGCCAAGTTTGCCTATGCCTGCTCTAAATCCTCTCTTCACTCAATAGTTTGAAGACTTTGATTGTTGCTGTTGTTTAGTTGTTTAGTCGTATCCGACTCTTCGTGACCCCATGGCCCAGAGCATGCCAGGTACTCCTGTCTTCCACTGCCTCCCGCAGTTTGGTCAAACTCATGTTGGTAGCTTCAAGAACACTGTCCAACCACCTTGTCCTCTGTTGTCCCCTTCTCCTTGTACACTCCATCTTTGCCAACATCAGGGTCCTTTCTTCCCCTTCTGTTTGCCAGGATGTGATGGGACCAGTGGCCATGATCTTAGTTTTTTTTATTTTGAGTTTCAGACCATATTTAGTTAGGCTCAGTTTTCTAATAATCTGTGTTAGTGTGATCCTATAGACCACTTTTCACCACAGATGGGCACAATGGGCACCACAGATGGGCACACTACCAGCAATAAAACAACCAAAATAATACTGGGATTAAAACAAACAAAAAACACAAGTGAAAACATGAGTTCAATAAATAGGCATGGTAGAACTTACTTTAAAATGCTTTCTGAAACATAAAAAGGTCTTTGTCAAATATCTGAAGTTCAGGGTTGTAGGGCTTAGAGCAATCAGTTAAATAAAACACATTAAATCCTGGAAGCCTCTTTTAAGAAATTGGATGACGGATTTTGGCACAACAGTAATAAAAATTATGCTACATGAGTTTGATCTCCCTGATGCCCAGTCGCTTCAGTAGCAGCACCGCTGGGTAATGTAGTTGGTATAACATTCCTACTGCTCATTATTACATTAAATGAGAAGTGGGGTTGCGGGAGAACACAACAGTGCATAATACCACATTCCCTCAGCATTACTAATAAATAGATTCTTGGTTGTTTCATTCCCAGTATAAACAACTGTCAACTGTAACGTCAAAGGCTCTCAGCAGCCACATTGGTAGGTCCTACTTGATAAAGAACTTTAAAGAGAGAGGGCCCCAGGCACAGTTCCCAGCTGTTGGTAGATGTTGAGGGTTTGGATTTAGGTCTATGATAAGTTCAAAGGCTTTCCTGAAAAGATATATACCGAACTGTTCACAGTTCCAGTCTTCAGTGAACCCCTTCCCTACCCCCCCTACCCAAACTGCCTCTGAATAACTGCATTCAGCACAGAAGACTTTCACTAGGCTTCTGATATCATGACAAAGGTTTCATGCAGTCTTTCAAGATAAGAAAGCTATTTTATGCTTTAAACTGCTGCAGCATCCCAACAGAAACAGTCAGTAGTTTAGACCTCAAGTTACTGTATCAGAAGCCAGTTGTTGTCTGTTTTATGTTACTCAGTTTCTTGAGAAGCAGTTTTCATGTTTGTCCTTATTTGTCTCTGACCATCCAATAGCCTTCATCTAAGTGCAACAATTAACACAAGGAATAGCCTAACTCAGACCCAAAATAATAGACTTATTTTGAATGCCGCTGATCATCTCTGAAATGGATCAATAAAAGACAGAGGGCCTTGGAGCATGCACAGAATCAATTTCCTTCACCTTTTAGCAACCAAAACTTTCCCCAGACTTTCCCCCCAATTAAAGCAATCAGAATGAAGTGTTTCCAGTGATGATGATGTGGTGGTGGTGGTGATTATTATTATTATCCCACCCATCTGGCTGGGTTAACGTCAAACATTCAAAACTTTCCAATACAGGGCTGCCTTCAGATGTCTCCTAAAAATTGTGTAGTTCTTTATCTCCTTGACATCTGAAGAGAGGGTGTTCCACAAGGTGGACACCACTCCCAAGAAGGCCTTCTGCCTAGTTTCCTGTAGCTTCACTTCTCGCAGTGGGGGGAACCGCCAAAAGGCCCTCGGTGCTGGACCTCAGTGTCCGGGATAAATGATGGGGGTGGAGATGCTCCTTCAGGTATACTGGGCCAAGGCCATTCGGGGCTTTAAAGGTCAGCACCAACACTTTTAATTGTGCTTGGAAACGTCCTGGGAGGCCATGTAAGTCTTTCAGGACCAGTGTTATATGGTCCCAGTGGCTGCTCCCAGTCACCAGTCTGGCAACGGCATTCTTAGTTGTCAATTCCAAGCCACCTTGAAAGGTAGCCCCACGTAGAGCGCATTGCAGTGGTCCAAGCAGGAGATAACCAGAACATGTACCACTCTGGTGAGACAGTGCGCAGGCAGGAAGGGTCTCAGCCAGTGCGCCAGATGGAGCAGATGGATTTACACATTAGTGCGAATTATTGTTTTGCAAAAATGCTGTTTCGTTCAAGGAACCCGATTCATTGGTATAGAATCTGGATGTGAGGATGCCTTGTGCGAACAGTCCTGAGGAAGCAAAATGGCTACATCTTAAACCTTTTGACTTAAACCAATGTCTCCTTTTCTTGACTTCGTTCTTTCTTTCTCTTGTAGAGTTCTCGAACTGCTCGTTCGGAGGAAGACCGAGACACGCTGTGGGATGCCTGGGGCTCATGGAGCGAATGTTCCCGTACTTGTGGGGGAGGCGCTTCCTACTCCCTCAGGCGCTGCCTGAGCAGCAAGTAAGGAGTTAAATGTCTCTTGAGTCTCTTGAGTCTACAGCATACAGAGCAGCGGGTGTCTCAGAATTGTGCTTGCATTTCGAACTTGGAAGACAAAAGGTCGTGTCTTCTTCAGGCAACCTTCCAGCGGGGTTGATGGCCCAACCCACAGTCCTTAAGATATGCCTGCAGTAACAAAAAACGTGCAGCACAGCGAACAATCCCTACATAGTTCTTACCTGAGTCTAATGCCAAACGGTCCGTTGCCAGCTAATGAAAAATGAAACCACTCATAGACTCTCTCATTCAGAGTGGTAATCCTCTTCACTCCCATGCACTGAACCTGAGATAAACCTCCAGCTTTCGCACCCTAAATCATTTAGTCATATGGGATCTATAAAACCCCCCAAAAAGGTATCCATATTTGTGTCTATATATAGACACATGCACATGCACACATGTATAATAACATACTGAGCTTTTGCTTTTTTTCAGTTTTTTTTAATTGATTTTCTAATATTATAACAAACATAACAAACATAACAACAAACAAACAAATTACAATATAAAAAAAGAAGAAGAAAGAAAGAAAGAAAGAAAGAAAGAAAGAAAGAAAGAAAGAAAGAAGAAAGAAAGAAAGAGGAAAGATAGATAAAGAAGAAAAACTTAATCTTAACTTTATAATCCCATTTTGTTATCATTGTTAGGTGACTTCCTCAAATCCCCTGGCTGAGTTTCCATATAGCTCATTGTAGTAGTTTTCCAACACTATTTTCATATAAAATTTACTTGTTCAATTAACATCTTTCTTTCTTTTCATTTTGACTTCTATGCATGATATTATACAATTTCACATATTTAAATTCTAGGCCAATCTGTTACTCACAAGTATTTAAGTTATCTTATTGAGCTTTTGCTTTTACAGAATATTTCCTTTAGGTTATAAAGGAGATTCGGGACCAAACTAGACAAGATGCTAAATGAATCACTAGGAAGTTCTTTCCTCTGCCCCGTCCCATCAAATCTGATACAGGGCACTGACCCTTTCTTTCATGCCACTGTCCCAATGGAAATTCTCCCCCTCCTCTGCCATTTCTGTTAACCCTAGAGATGGGAGAGCAAAAGACTCTGGCACCAATGGAAGGTCCCCATCAGGGACGCCGACTTGCCCCCCCCACACACCACATTGAGGGGGCCCAGTGTCATGTGATTCATCCTTACCCCACCCCACTCCCGAATGCTCACCTGGCGGTGGTGAGGGCTGGGGCATGTGGTGGGCGCTCATGTCCTGAACTTGCCCGGTTCCCGAGCACTTGCCCTCTGGCAGCAAGGGAGGGTGGCCCCCTCAGTTTTGAGGGGTGAGCTCAGCCCCCTGCCCCCCAAATATTGAGGGGGCTGAAGAAGAAGAAGAAGAAGAGGAAGAAGAGTTTGGATTTGATATCCCGCTTTATCACTACCAGAAGGAGTCTCAAAGCGGCTAACAATCTCCTTTCCCTTCCTCCCCCACAACAAACACTCTGTGAGGCGAGTGGGGCTGAGAGACTTCAGAGAAGTGTGACTAGCCCAAGGTCATCCAGCAGCTGCATGTGGAGGAGCGGAGACGCGAACCCGGTTCACCAGATTGCGTGTCTACCGCTCTTAACCACAACACCACACTGGCTCTCTGAAGCCCCCTTTGCCCCCTATAGTTGGCATCCCTGGTCCCCATTTTTACTAAAGTAGTTTTGTAAGAGTGACAGGATGACAGTCGGGGAGTGTACGGTAGTTCTGTCTGTATAGTGGCCCTTTTCTGATTTAAAAACCAAACCAATTCACATACACTCACTCACAAACGGAAATGCAAGTATTAGGATTAGCACCATCACCTCTAGTTTGGCCCTCAGAAAGATCTGTTTGTTATCAGCAGCAGGCCAAACTGTAAATGTGTGTCTTTGTGCCCAAGAAGACCCACACTGTTTTGAAATTTATAGTCTTAAACTAGCCCCACCGGACTCTCAAAACCCCTTATGACAAATATCACTAATATAATAAAATCCATTTTAGAATAACTTTCAAAGCCCACACCTAAAGTACCCGCATGCATGAAAATCTTAAACCAACAGCCCAAGCAAGCAGCCTTAAATTAAAACCAGGTTTATTACTCTACTAGATTTCCAAAAGTACTTCCTAAACAGGAAGATCATAGCATCATAGAATTGCAGAGTTGGAAAGAACCATGAAGATCGTTTAGTCCAACCCCCTGCAGCGCAGGAAACCTTTGCCCAACATGAGGCTTGAACCCATGGCCCTGAGATTACTGTCCATAAATTGACCTGATGGGTACAGAATTTGGGTTTCTATGAACTGAGAAGAGGGAAGCTACCACAGAGCAGGACTCTGAACATGTCAACAAGTATGAATTTGGCGGGAATAATCGTATATCAATTTCAATGATGCTTTTATTATCTTACACGTTGACGGCACCCAGGTGTAATTTAAAGAGAGCAAAAAAACCTGGCACATGTTTTCTGTACCATGCTGATGAGAATTTAATAGAAACCTGTTGGGAAGGAAATACTGTCCAAAAGTGCTTTCTTAGGTTTGATATTATGACGATGTAAGGAAGCACTGTTCATTTTATAATTGAGTCCAGGCAGCACAAAGATGGAAGCTGAATCTCCTGTTGCTGTTACGTTGAGGCAGGAGTGGGATGTTTATGAGGAGAGGAAAGATTCATGATGGAACCATGAAATCAGTGGGGCAACAATGTGTTTGTTTTAGCTCCCTGTAGAAATGGACAATGGCTTGCCATTGCCTTGGTCTAGAATTAGCCCAGCTTTTCCACAGGGAACTCATTCATCATTACCAGAGCACAGTAAATCTCTACACCTCCTCTCAAGACAACTAAGCAGCTGAACAATCACTGTGAAGGTCAATCGATTTATTGTGTATAGCCAAAGGCCTTTACAAGGTAAAATAATAGATAAAGGACCCCTGGGCGGTTAAGTCCAGTCAAAGGCAACTATGGGGTTCCGGCACTCATCTCACTTTTCAGGCCGAGGGAGCCAGCGTTTGTCTGCAGACAGCTTTTCTGGGTCATGTGGCCAGCGGGACTAAACTGCTTCTGGTGCAACAGGACACTGTGACAGAAACCAGAGCACCCAGAAATGTCATTTAACTTCCCACCGCAGTGGTACCTATTTATCTACTTGTACTGGTATGCTTTTGAATTGCTAGGTTGGCAGAAGCTGGGACAGACCAACAGGAACTCACCCTGTTGCGGGGATTTGAACCGTCGACCTTCCGATCGGCAAGCCCAAGAAGCTCAGTGGTTTAGACCACAGTGCCACCAGCATCCCCTCTACAATCCCCTTTACAATGAAGAGCAGAGAACAAGGGCAAGGCTTTCCTCTGAAATCACACAACATAACCTATGAAAGTTTACAGCATGCAAAATTGACAGGATAAAAAAACTAAAATTAGAAAGCATTAATATAGTTGGAATGGAGCTTCTTAGCTGCCAGAGCAAATTTGACTACCAGATGTGTAATTTGTAGATGTTTATCAGCTAAGAGTTTGACTGTCACTTTCTGGGGGATCAGCCGGAGGACCAGTTAATAGATGATACAAAATTTTCTCTGGGTATTGTATACAAGGGGGATATCAGCAGGTATGTGAAGGTGGTGAAGCAACTCTACCGCAGTGATTATGGTTCATTTTTAAGACCAGGAGCAGCTCCCCCAATGAGATGGAGCCACAACAATAGTGTCCTAGTAGCAGCATCACTGCCGCTCAGTGGGATGTGGAAAGACATGGCGGTGAAAAGGCTTGGATTGTGTGGGCGCAAAGGATTAGTTCTACCAGTGTACTTGCACAGCACTGACCTTGCTGCTGCATCCCTCTCCCTCCCAGTAAGCAGCAAGTTAGCTTAAGATTCATTATCCCAAGAATGGGCAGCTCCAGCTCCCTTTAGCTCCAGCCATCATGGTCAATGATGCGAGTTGCTTTGCAGTATTGTGGTTCTGCTACCATTCTGACCCTGGAAGAGGCTGCAGAAAATAGGATTTGCAGGGAAGGGTTGATATACCCACAGTGAGTGGGTATATATGTTAGCGAGAATGGTGGAAATAATAAGACACTTAAATCAAGGATTAGGATGAGGGTTACCTCTACTCTTACTTAATGGCTTCAGCAGAAGCATTCATATGGCCAGTTCATTAGATGCACCAAAGCTACTGTCACTCTCTGCTCTGCTTCTTCCTTGAAGTAATGCTTGCTTTCACTGTAATTTTCAACATATATTGAACATGGGACAGTATGAATATTTTCAGCAGTAATGCAAAACAATGCTAAACCGAAGCTAAGTTATTTGTTTGGTAGGTAGGTAACTTGTCAGATTTCTGTACTGTTCTTCAACAATTTTTCTAGGGCCTGGAAAAATAAAAAAAAGATTTGTCATGAATGATAACCTAAACAGACTCCCATCTGACAAGCCATGTTTGTTGCAAGTGCATGCCAAACCAGGATCTGAAACTATGGTTTGAAACTGAGTGGCAAACCATAGTTTGCATTAAATCTGAACCACCAAACCATGGTTTGTCAATACATAACAGTTTGCCTCATTGCTTCATCAGTGCAGGCTGCAGTTCATGATAGTATCTGGGGATTCTCAGAGAAGGTAGTCAAAGATGAAGGTGAACAAACTATAATTTGTCTATTTGCCTAGTTATCCTTAGTAAGGTATCTTCTATGACAGGCTTGTCCAAAGTTCATTTTGGGGGCCTAATCCAGCCCACTGCTTGGTTTAATCTGACCCCTGTGGCAGTATATTTCCTGGGGTAAAATCCTAAAAAACCTCAACAACTTCAGCCTTGAAAAAAAGGTCAACAAATTTGGTTGGCCCTTTGGTCTGCCCTCATGGCTCTTCACTTCATCAGATCTGGCCCTCTTTGAAAAAAGTTTGGACACCAGTGTCCTATGAAAACAAGTATTTCGGGTGGTGTGTGTAAAAGCTATTTATGGCACATATGCAAAAGGGACAT